ATTTACTACAGTAAATAGAGTGTAAAAGTACTATAAAAAGAGTAGTAAAGTACTAGAGTAAATAGAGAAGAAAAGTACTAAAATAGACAGTGCATCAAAATACGGCGTCGCATCGCAGTATGGCGGTGAGAACGTCACTTCTGACGCTTGTCTTCATAGCTTGGTGAGTGATAACTTTATCTTCATAGCTTGGTGAGTGATGACTTTATCTTCATAGCTTGGTGAGTGATAACTTTATCTTCATAGCTTGGTGAGTGATATATTTATCTTCATAGCTTTGTGAGTGATAACTTTATCTTCATAGCTTGGTGAGTGATATATTTATCTTCATAGCTTGGTGAGTGATAACTTTATCTTCATAGCTTGGTGAGTGATATCTTTATCTTCATAGCTTGGTGAGTGATAACTTTGTCTTCGTAGCTTGGTGAGTGATAACTTTATCTTCATGGCTTGGTGAGTGATGACTTTATCTTCATAGCTTGGTGAATGATAACTTTATCTTCGTAGCTTGGTGAGTGATAACTTTATCTTCATAGCTTGGTGAGTGATAACTTTATCTTCATAGCTTGGTGAGTGATGACTTTATCTTCATAGCTTGGTGAGTGATGACTTTATCTTCATAGCTTGGTGAGTGATGACTTTATCTTCATAGCTTGGTGAGTGATGACTTTATCTTCATAGCTTGGTGAGTGTTAATTTTATCTCAATTATAGTTGGATTTATTCACCTCGTATTCATGATTACCTGATCCGCTATTTGCATATAATTCCATAATTTAACATGAAAGAAAATTCACAATATAAGTGGTAAAAATTTTCAATTTAAATATGATTGCGATAAATTTTTAAAACCATTTATTTGTTTTCTTATTTTAGGGATATTTGATGAATTTATAGGTAGGAATTCCTTGCAATGCTTGGTGAAAAATGCGATATTTGAGTGAAATTATTTTTACTTGATCACTGCGAATTTTTCATCAATTTAATTTATTTCTTCAATCAATATGCACATCACAGTACGCACCATAAGTTGCACATCACAGTACGCACCATAAGTTGCACATCACAGTACGCACCATAAGTTGCACATCGCAGTACACACCACAAGTTGCACATCACACTACGCACCATAATTTGCACATCACAGTACGCACCATAAGTTGCACATCGCAGTACACACTATAAGTTGCACATCACACTACGCACCATAAGTTGCACATCACAGTACGCACCACAAGTTGCACATCACAGTATGCATCACAGTGAACGCAATTTACGCCGTTGACGAGTTTGTAGCAACTTAAAGTTAAAGTTAGGAAGAACCTCAGTTGAAGTTGAGAAGTTTGTCAACTTGTTAAGTTGAAGTTCAAACTTCAACGTTGCGAGTGTCGCTACTAATTTAATGGAAGTTTGTGGCTTGTTAGTAAAGATTTTTTTCTCTACGTTCTTCCTCCAAGAATTGTATATTTGGTATTCTTATATATTTTTTATTTATGTTTTATCTGTTAGGAACGAATGAATTTAATTTTTTGTTCAAGTATTAGTAACTAAAACAAAATTTAGTGAATGCGAGTTTTATTTCCACTTTAAATTTGTATGTTTAAAATTAATTTCATATTGATTTTACTATGAAATTTTTATGAAAATTCATCAGTTTTAATTTGAGTTTTAATGTTTTTTTTATGCCTCTTGATATCCAATTTCTTTTTGATCTACTGATTGATTTTCACCATAATATGATTTTCTTTTAAATTTTACATATAATTAGAAATGAGCTTGTATATTATTCTGAAAACTGCGTTTATATTCAAGTCATGAATTCTATTAATGGACAAATAAGTAAAATATCATAAAATTAAATCGTGAGACATAAAACACACCACACACCACACACCACACAACGTCACTATGTGTTAGCGCATCTTCTTTAAGACTCGCGCTGCTGCCTCCCTGACTCACCATCACCACTATCACCACTAGCACCACTATTGCCACTATCACCACTATCATCACTGTCACCACTAGCACCACTATTGCCACTATCACCACTATCATCACTGTCACCACTAGCACCACTATCACCNTCTCAATTTACTATCCATTACCAATAAGTACTTCTTGCATTTATACTATAATAAAGGGAGTATGTATTGCTTCGTGCAATGGCAATCGTAGTGCTCTTATAACGGACGAGTAAAAAACCAAGAGACTTGGTGAACAATTGAGAGCACTCACAGCAAAAAAGAAATACATCCAATCACAGCATTTCCAGCGTACATGACGAGCGAAAATTATAAATTGAAGTGAAATGGGGATACGTCGTTTAATTGTCCTTCTTCAGTAGAATTGCAGACTTTAAAATAACAGGAATTTATTTTTTATTTAAAGAATCATTCGAGTTGATCGCAATTTACTGGTGTTTCTTTATTTTCCGCAAATCTACTTCAACATTATATAATATAATATAATATAATATAATATAATATAATATAATATAATATAATATAATATAATATAATATAGTACAAGCTTAGTATTATTATTTGATACTAATTACTACTACCGTTATTTTCAAAGCTGCGAATAAGATGCCCTCACATAAATCGAATTATCACTTAAATCTCAGCAGTTTTTCATTTTCAACCGAAACTCTACGAAAATGAAGGCATTACCACGGGTGAACTATTCACTAATTTCACCAAATATGGTTTCCCGGCTTACACGCATCTAGTTCCAGCTTTCTTTCGCGGAGTCAAATTTATCAGTTTTCATAGCTTCCAAGTGTCTAATTAACACAACATTCGGTTTTACACTTTTCAATGAAGCCGGTTTTCTGGTTTTCTCAGCATTTTTCCTTACCGAAAAGCGTCCAATTTTTAAACTATAAACCAAAATTACAATCGATGTGAAGTCGGCAGGCGATGTTTACGCGGGTTCGATATTGAACTGCGATGTTTGAACTGCACAAGCGGCCAATATATTGCATTTTTAGGTAACTGGCAATTCTGAAAACCTGGATAATTCCAAAATACCTTATCAATTTAACCTTCTACATTCGTTTTAGACCAAAATATTTTTCTACAGTCCACTTTATGCTTTTTTCTTACTTTTCCGCTTAATCCAGTAATCTTTCAATAAATAAACCCTCTAACCTGTCGTACAATTTATTCCTTTAACCACGAGTTTGCACATTATAATTAATATGTAAGGATAAGACATAATTATCCTTACAGCTAGATTATTTCTTACCCCTTACGGCTAGATAATTCCTACCCCTTACGGCTAGATTATTCCTACCCCTTACGGCTAGATTATTCCTACTCCTTAATGCAGCTTAGCCCAATTGGGCATTTCTCATCTAATTAAGCGCAAGGAAGAAGAATGTCAAAATATTCTATATTTTATTTTGGAAAACATGTCTAAATTTTTGCAGCACGAGGCTATAGCCACATTTAGTTAATAGCCACACTAAGTGTTATATATTTTTATATATTTTCTGATGTATTTATTGAACTACCAGCCTCATGGAACCAAGTGCATGTAAATTAAACGTGATGTCTAGGTTTGTGCTGGATTGTTGTCGAATTGTTTATATGTAAAAATTATAAGAGTATGTAATTCAGAATGAAATAACGGATCTGATGCAGTCTTTATTCTTCTTTCTTAAGTTCCTCAAGAAAGTCACAGTTCATTTAGCGTGTGTACTACATGTACTGATTGTTCTCGAATAGATGAATATATATGTCGATCCTGAATTCATAAATCCATTTTGATTTCTTTACAGAGTATTCAGTTTAAGATACATTTTTAGCATTTTTAATATTTGGAATTTTAGATGAAAAAGCTGCTTTATTTTTTGTAAATGTTGCCGGAATTTTGAACAATTCCAGAATGCTCAGAATATTTGTAATTAACCTTAATCGAAATTTATTCGATGTTTTCTACTGTAATGAAAAATTACCCTTAGGAAAGACTCTCTAAAAGAACTTTCTACATAAAGAGTTGATGGATTAATATGAGGGAAATGGGATTGAAATATTTGTTATTTAGGATGAAATGGGATTTGCAAAACAATACATTTTCAGGTACTTACTGTAATATGTAAAAGTTCCACAAAAACAGCACAGAGCAAATGTAAGTGAGCAATCAATTTACATGAATTAATCTCAAACCTTTGTGTTTGCAATAAAATTGTGGACGAAACGAGCAATGTATGGAGAGTTTGTACAGTCATATATAGAGAATAATTATTTGTATAGTAATGTATAGAGAATTTGTATAGAGCCAACGCCTCTTTATTTGTATGCAATACACGGGCGCTTCAGAGTCGCTTCAATAATTCACGGACCGGAAGCTGTTAAATTCTTTCGCTCGCTTTAATGTTTTCACGACCGTACATTTGACTGAGCTTTGTGAGGCTAAAAACAGTGACTTCGGTTGTAAATACAACCGTCTAACGACACCCGACTACGGCTGTATATATGACCGTCTAACGACACCCGACTACGGCTGTAAATGCAAAAGCTTTTCTACAATCGACTACGGTTGTAAATACAACCGTCTTTCTAAACCGACTATGGCTGTAAATACAACCGTCTCTCTACAACCGACTACGGTTGTAAATACAACCGTCTCTCTACAACCGACTACGGCTGTATATACAACCGTATCTCTACACTCGACTACGGTTGTACATACAACCGTCTAACTACACTCGACTACGGGTGTAAATATAACCGTCTCACTACATTCGACTACGGCTGTAAGTATAACCGTCTCACTACACCCGACTACGGCTGTGCATATAACCGTCTCACTACACTCGACTACGGCTGTAAATATAACCGTCTCACTACACCCGACTCCGGCTGTTGAAAAAATCGAACGGAAACTTTAGTTGGGCACTAAGAAAAATCAGCAGGTCATGTTGTCCAAGTAGTGAAACACTCTCTTACCCTCAGCACGAACAAAGAGTGGACACAGTAACGATCCACATTTTGCATGGCCAAACTGAGTCCAGGTGACCCACATAAGATCAAGAAATACCAGGCCATTTAGGCACAGTTTCTCCAGCGTTGATGCACTAGCTCCTCGATCTGTTAATTCCAAAGGAAGGAAAACGCTCGGCTAACAACCTATTGGTTTCAGTAACAAAAGTACTCAAACGAATGATTAATAAGCATAGAATATTATTATGTTATTATCAAATTATTTTGCATAATAAATTGGATTTACAGGTCCAACATATTAGTCTGGAAGCTTCAAATGGCTGATTATAGAAGAAACTTGTCCTGGAAAAGATTAAATTGTTTAATTTGCTAAAATTATCTAATTATACAGATTATTTAATGATTAACACGTTTAAATTATCTAAATTCTTTAAGAAAAATTGATTGATGAAGAATTGGTTGTGTTAGAGTTAGACGGAGAGAATTTATACCGGAATAGATTAAATGTTTAAAGCTACTGAAACTGCCTGATTATGTAAATTATTTAATGATACACATGTTTAAATTATCTAAATTCTTTAAGATTAAATGATTGATGAAGCATTTATGTGTTAGACGGAGAGAACTCATACCGGAATAGATTAAAATTTTTAATTTACCAAAATTACCTAATTCTATAGATTATTTAATGATACACATCTTTAAATTATCTAAATTCTTTAAGATTAAATGATTGATGAAGCATTTATGTTAGACGTTGTACGTTTTACCCGCAGGTGTGACGTACATCAACGTGTCCGTGGTGCTCAACAGTCTCGAGATGATAGACAACCGACGCGTGAGTATCGTGATTAATAATTGTTACAATTAACATTTGTAACAATTAAAATTTGTAGCAATTAAGATTTTTAGCAATTAATATTAGTAAAAATTGAAAATTTTTACAATTAATATTTGTAACAATTAACATTAAAGGCTCCCGGCAGAAATACGTGCAATAAAATAGGTTCCCCTAGGTTGCCATGGAAATAACTGTTAGAAATAAGTTTACCAGTGAAAACATTACGGGTTTCAAACAGTTATTATTTATAGCAAATAACATTTCTAACAGTTAACAATAGTAACAAATAAACTGTGTTACAATTAACATTTGTGACAACTAGCATTAGTAACAATTAACCAATGTAACAATTAACATTTGCAGCAATTAACATTTGTAACAATTAACAATAGTAACAATCACCATCATCGCAAGAACTTTATTTAAAATTAATCTTTTTCCAACGAGCTTTTTCACCTCTCTCGTAGACTTCAAGTGCAGTAATTAGGAATTAGTCTGATGACTAATCCATCATTAAATCCTTATTTTGCTCTTTATTTCCGTCACTTATGTTCTCTCGTATCGAATTATCTTGAGGTCACTTTCCCACACTAATTAATCTCAGAGTTAATGTTTAATCAGCATTATTACCTTAAGCGTTCTTTAGTTAATGCTCTGCTCTCATCTGGCTAAACTTAATGTGAGTAACTTTTATTATATTGTTCAAAACATATTAATGCAAGTCTTGAGCTACTAAAGAAGACTGGCCAATCCGCAAATTGGACGCCCCTAAACCGACCAAAACTGCCGGAGCTCGACAGAGGAAAAACATTAACCATCTACAACAACAATAACGGCTATTCTTCAGCCACCTAAAACTACAATAACAATAACGGCTCTCCTTCAGCCACCTACAATAACAATAACGGCCCTCCCTCAGCAACATACAATAACAATAACAGCTCTTCTTCAGCCACCTACAATAACAATAACGGCCCTTCTTCAGCCACCTACAATAACAATAACGGCCCTTCTTCAACCACCTACAATAACAATAACGGCCCTTCTTCAACCACCTACAATAACAATAACGGCTCTCCTTCAGCCACATACAATAACAATAACAGCTCATCTTCAGCCACCTACAATAACAATAACGGCTCTCCTTCAGCCACCTACAATAACAATAACGGCCCTCCCTCAGCCACATACAATAACAATAACGGCCCTCCCACAGCCACATACAATAACAATAACGGCCCTCCCTCAGCAACATACAATAACAATAACAGCTCATCTTCAGCCACCTACAATAACAATAACGGCTCTCCTTCAGCCACCTACAATAACAATAACAGCTCATCTTCAGCCACCTACAATAACAATAACGGCTCTCCTTCAGCCACCTACAATAACAATAACAATAACGGCATGCTCACTTCAATTAATTGTTAATACACCTGAGTATATCATTCACAATTATTACATTATTAATAAAAGTAGCTTCTTTCTTCACCGTTCCCCTAAACAAGACCTGATATATCGACGTAACCCAAATTACTGATGAAACAGCATCCTTCTTCCGATTTACGGTTGATTTTTGACTTCAATCAACTCTTAAGCTAATAAAAGTTTTTCATGCAATTAGGTTACAAATTTAGCATTATTTAGTCTCAAGAAAAATATATTTTTAACATGATTTTTCTAGCAATCCTTCGTCCATGTTAAAAAAATTACAAATACTTTCATGTTATTATTGAATGAAATTTAATTTGAATCCATTAATATTGAATGTAAATTTTAGTTTCAATCGAGGCGATCAAACGATCGCGTCTCGAAATATTCAGTTCCCAGGCACCCGAAAGAAACGTCTTGTAGTTTTTACGTTAATTCCAATCAACGTTCTAGTAAAAACGTTACTTCGGTGATCACAGTTTTGGGGACGACGAAGGTACGTCTGAAATTGTCGCTGCGTTTTTTGAGTGACGACATTCAAAAATTGAATTCGTATTTGTTGCTGTTGTTGTTGTTGTTGGTACGTGAGCGGGAAATGTGAATTTAGCTGTTGTTTTACAGTGTGCTGACATCTTTACTGTTTTTTTGGCAGTTGACTTGAACATATTGTTGTTACTTCTACCGGTGTTGTTGTTGTTTTGAAGTGAGCTGCCATCTTTACTGTTGTTTTGTACTGTTCTTTACGCGTTCTAGTAACAATAAAGGCTTCTTACAAAGACATCGCATGAAGATCAGAGGCTAAGTGAGATATGCTCGGGTTTTTTCACCGATATATCCTGTATCCATGATTTATATATCGATTAAAAGATTGTTTCCAGATCAATTTACTTTGATTCAAGAAAAAAAAGTCACGAAACTTATACCTTTATTCTGGGACAGTGTCGTTCGTGTCGTTAGCAACATATATCATTCGGACATGAATATCTAAAATATATTGGAGAATATGAGCAGAATTCCCCTGTCACTTTCATGCATTTTTATACCTTTTTTTCGAACAGTGCTACTCACGTTGCATTCATTATATAATTTAATCATTCATTAAATGGTAATAAAATCATTATATCTTTTGCATTCAATATCATTTTCTTAGGCAATAATAAAGACTAGGAAGTTCCTTGTATGACATGAAGTGCTCCATGAATGACAGAAGCCGCCAGCCATGTGAGCAGTGAATGTATTGTTGTGTTTCTTTTGCCCACACGCTGTATTGTGTTGTAAAAATAATTGGATAGTGAAATCATTAATTATTCCACTTAATAGTACGACAGTCTGAGTCAATAATTTAATCTAAATTAATCGACAATTTATTATGAAAATTATGAATTTGCTGTCATTCTTGGTGACTAGAACTAAGCAAGAAGATCAGAAATGGTTCATAGTTGACAGTCAGAGGTCTGTATCCAGCTTTTATTTCTATACATTGATAAATTTACATTAATTTCTATACATTTGACATTTTTCACAGTTTTTTTCGTCGGGCCTATAGCTTGGCAAATAATTAAATTTATATATATTCAAATGGAGATAATTGATTCAATAAAATTTAAATCATTATCACAACAACACAGTTCATATTTGTGATTTTAATTTGGATCAAGCGCAATTAATATCATAAATTTACATTTGGTTAGGAAAAAAGTGTAGTTTCTCGTAAATGTTAGTCATGAAGATTTGTTAGAATTTTCGTATATTATTTGAAGAAGAAGAAAGAGAAGAATGAAGAGACTGGTTATTGTAACTGGTCACGTTAAAAGAATTCGAAATGAAAATTTAAATGCGGAAAACTTCTCTATAGGATTTTTTCTGGAAAAAGAAAATTGGCTTACAGATGTCCAATTTCAGGTCGTCGGGGCAGTTGAATGTCATGTAAAATAGGGATCAACAATAATTTATCTTGTAACTTATCTACAATAAAGATTTGACAACTAATAACAGTTAACAACATTTTCGTAAGTGTGTGGCCTCACATGAGCGTGTCCTCACATGAGCGTGTCCTCACATGAGCGTGTCCTCACATGAGCGTGTCCTAACATGAGCGTGTCCTCACATGAGCGTGTCCTCACATGAGCGTGTCCTCACATGAGCGTGTCCTCACATGAGTGTGTCCTCACATGAGCGTGTCCTCACATGAGCGTGTCCTCACATGAGTGTATATCTTTAGCCTCAATTGCTCTTATTCCCAAAGCTATTATACATTCTTAGAAATTATGTTTTTATAGTAAATTTATTTAGAGTAAAAATCCAGTAATCGTCTGGTTTAAGTTATCTAAATTTTAATATCATGCCTTGCAAGATTTACCATCGATGTTTCTTGATTTCCGCAAACATTTCTTGATATTTTTCTTAGGAAATGCAGTATTTTCGTCGAAATTGAATAATTTTTAGGTTGAAGGAAGCTTACAAATTATCCGGAGTCCTCATTTGAAGCATAATTTGCAAACTAACGATAAAATTGTACATTTTTTAGAATTAGAAACAATAAAGAATTTACGGAAAAGAATTCGCGAGTCTTCCGAGGGCAAAAAATTTTTGTGTCATCGCAGAATTTTTCTCAATTAGAGGACAGAAATAGCGGGCTTTCCCTCTAGACGTCAGACGCGGGCATTCAGAGTTTGTACGGATACTGTTTTTATTTATTATATGTGGCCTTTTATGTTGCGACATTTTTGTGTTACAGAAATGCTAGGGACAGGGATTGTTTAACGGCATAATAGGAAGCTGTGCGGCAAATAGCTTGAAACTACGTTCACTCAGATTTTTTCTTTGTTTTGTGTTGTGTTTTGTGTTTTTAATCTTTTATCTGGGTTAGTTTGCGAACTCACTTCGAAAATTATGATCGAATTATCGCTGGACATCGGGCACCTACACAAGCCCCAGTAATAAAAATCAGACGAACTTTTCGATCAGACGAACTTTTTCGCCCCACCAGCATTGAATAATTTTCATGCAACCGCTTTTGTTTTCACTGTCAAATGATTCCGCGAATAAAAATATATTTTTCCTTTCTTGGTGATATCCCGACACGACAAGTATCCTGGATACGCGCCCCAACATCCCCTATATATAATACCCCAACACAATAGGTATCCTGGATACGCGCCCCAACAGCCCCTATATACAATATCCCGACACGATAAGTATCCTGGATACGCGCCCCAACAGCTCCTATATACAATATCCCGACACGATAAGTATCCTGGATACGCGCCCCAACAACACCTATATACAATATCCCGACACGATAAGTATCCTGGATACGCGCCCCAACAGCACCTATTTATTTATTGTGCCATGCTACAACTACACAGAACACTTTGAAAGATATTAACAAGATTTAAAAAATTAAATGGAATATTGGCTACATTCTTGATTTTGAAGTGCATTATCAATAAGTTTTAAGTAATGTACTATCATACCACTCAGAATTTGCGTGACGCAATGAAGCCGACCGGTCGTACAATACAGTGACTACACCGTGTGCAATGAAGCCTGTCAGCCGCACTGAACAGTAATTGCGCACTGACTTTACAATGACGCACAATGATGATGCATAATGATTTTACAATGAAGCCTCCAGTCGCACTGTTCAACGACAGCCTCCGTATGCATCGGTGGCTACGCACACGGCGCCCTCAGGAGCTTTCCTCCGTATTTCCCTCCCTTTAATTTCATCACACGAATATAAAAACAGAATAAACACAGGCAGATAATTTTGGGGAATGGGGCCTCTTGGCTCAATTGGGGAAGCCCCCGGGAAAGCTTAGGGAAAACTGCCAGAAACTATGCCGCACAATTCACTTTTTGGAGGTTTTCCCGCTAGGCTCTTGCCATGCATTAGAAATAAAGGCGGGGCAATCAGCCGTGCTGAGGGAATGCCGCTAAATGAACAGCTAAATAATGGAGAGCGGTTAATGGGTTAATTAATTGCGGTAATGGGTACTCGACTACTTGCACTTGTTGGAATTGTACAGTAGTATGTATTGCATCATACTATATGTACTTAATATTAAAGCAATTATTGGTCAATCTCGTAATCAGGGATGATATAAAGAGAACTTATAAAACAAAACTATTCCTTAGAGCTTTCAAAACTACATGAACACGAAGGATGAAAATTTATCCTGACAATTACTGCATTTAATAAACCATTGAACGTTAATATTAGTGAGACTAAGCAATCGCTCTTTAAGCCGTCTGATGAACTACGCTCATATTCAAATGTAATTAAAAAAAATTTATATTCCTTTTATTCTAAGTGTTCTAGTCGATTATTTAATACACAAAATTTTTTTAAAATTGCAAAAAATTAGAATTTATTTAATTTTATTCTTGTGAGCGATCAAAAGCCGCTCAGCTCTATTAAAATTCTTGAATCTCACCTCTCATACTAGCGCACTAGCCGCATATGTCGACCTGGTATAACTCTATTATAAAGTGGAGTGATCCCTCAGTTGATTGCTATACTCACCGTTAAACTTAAAATATATTTGTATTTATTGAACGCACGTAAATGAATCTATTCTTCATCGAGCTCTCAACCAATTTTTATACATTAATTAATCTTTTCATTAATAAGCTTTTTCTTCTAAATATTTATTAACCTAAAATGATTAACTCTATTCATTATTAAACTCATCTCCCATTTATATTCATTGAACCTACTCGTTTATAATTATTTGTTCAACAAAGTGAAAATCGATGCTTTTAATAATGAATACCGTGGTATTCAGTATTAAAATCCTCACTTATTCTTATTCATTTATTCACTTAACATGATTAACTCTATCCATTATTAAACTCAAGCCCCATTCACATTCATTGAACTTTATCTTTAATTATTATCTATTCAATAACGTGGATAACTGTAATCATTATGAATAATTATGATTAGAGTTATGACGTACATAGCATAATAATTCAATGACGTGCCTAACTCTAATTAAAATAATCGCTTATTCATATTTATGTAACCTGAATAATATAAGTATAATATTATTTATAATAATAATACCACGAGTTTGCACATTATAATTAATATGTAAGGATAAGACATAATTATCCTTACAGCTATATTATTTCTTAACCCTTTCGGCTAGATTATTCCTATTTCCTAGTGCATACGGCTAGATTATCCCTAGTGCATACGGCTAGATTATCCCTAATGCATACGGCTAGATTATCCCTAATGCATACGGCTAGATTATTTCTAACCCTCACGGCTAGATTATTAATTTATTACTAACCCTTACGGTAAGATTATTCCCAACCCTTACGGCCAGATTATTACTAACCCTTACGGCCAGATTATTCCTAACCCTTACGGATATATATCATAACGAAACAATATCATCCCGTGGCGTATGTTCCAAATGCTCACACAAAACAATAAAAGTGTTTCATGAACTCACAATATTATAAGGTTTCTCGCTGCCATTGTCGCGATTGTATTTCCAGTCTGTATGACAGCCAGGCAGAGGATTTACCTAAACTGTCTTACAAAGGACAACTGTGAGATTCACGCTGATCTTCGAGCGTATTTAGGCCGTCAATTATTCGCATATACGCTTGATAATTACAGGGAGTCGTCGTATCTCGGGGTCCGCTAAGGCGATTACCTAATTGCCCCGCAGTGCAGCTAAATCGCCCCTAAATCGCCTCTAAATCGCCTCTAAATCGCCTCTAAATCGTGGACTTCAAATGGAATCAAAGCAAGCGATGAATGTTGGTGTTGGGGTGGTGGTGTTGGGGTGGTGGTGTTGGGGTGGTGGTGTTGGGGTGGTGGTGTTGGGGTGGTGGTGTTGGGGTGGTGGTGAGCCCTAGTTGGTCATTAAATCATTTCATCATAATCACCAGATAGTCACCACATAATCGTCTCACTACCAAAATCTTGTGTACCACCACCTGAAACTTGTGTACCTTGACCTAAAACTTGTGTACACCACCCAAAACTTGTGTACACCCCCCAAAACTTGAGTACCACCCAAAACTTGTGTCCAACCACCTTGAACTTGCGTACACCTCCCAAAACTTGTGTACCACCACCTTGAACTTGTGTACCACCACCCAAAACTTGTGTACAACCCAAAACTTATGTACCACCACTCAAAACTTGTGTACCACCACCCAAAACTTGTGTACCACCACTCAAAACTTGTGTACCACCACCCAAAACTTGTGTACCACAACCCAAATCTTGTGTACAACCCAAAACTTGTGTTCCCAGTTTCAGCGCGACCGTGCCGTGCGAGATGGAGCTTGCCTACTACCCCTTCGAGAACTACCGCTGCCTCCTCATGTTCCACAGCCGTGAGTCACAAAAACTCAACAAATATTCCTCATATTTATTTATATTTATTATATTTTTTCATATTAACATCATTTATTCATCTACCATTCAATAATAATAATAATAATATCAATACAGTAAATTGTATCAAATAGGGTGGTCATGGTTGTTGGTGTTTAATAAGTTTTATTAAATTCGGGTTCTAAACGTTTAGTCAAGATAAATAGCCGAAAATTAATTAATTCATTCACATTAATTCATTAATTAATTAATTCACCATGCCCCGTAACACTCACTGGTGTTCACCATGTTCCATAACACTCACGGGTGTTCACCAAGTCCCGTAACACTCACGAGTGTTCACCACGTCCCATAACACTCACGGGCGTTCACCACGCCCCGTAACACTCACGGATGTTCACCACGCACTGTAACACTCACCGGTGTTCACCACACCCCGTCACAATCACGGGTGTTCACCACGTCCCATAACACTCACAGGTGTTCATCACATCCCATAACACTCACGGGTGTTAATTACGCCCCGTAGCACTCACGGGTGTTCACCACGCCGCGTAACACTCAAAAGTGTTCACCACATCCCATAACACTCACGGGTGTTAACTACGCCCCGTAGCACTCACGGATGTTCACCACGCCCCGTAAAACTCACGGGTGTTCACCACGCCCCATAATAATCACGGGTGTTCACCACGCCTCCGTAACACTGACGCGTGTTCTCCACGTCCCATAATACTCACGGCCCAACATTCATGGGTGTTCACCACTCCCCATAATACTCACTGGTGTTCACCTTGTCCCATAACACTCACGGGTCTTCACCATGCCCCGTAATAGTCACGGGTGTTTACCACGCCCCGTACCACTCACGGGTGTTCACAACGTCCTATAACACTCACGCCCCATAACACTCACGGGTCTTCACCACGCCCGTAACACTCACGGGTGTTCACCACGTCCAATAACACTCACATCCCGTAACACTCATGGGTGTCCACCCCGTCCCATAACACTCACACCTCGTAACACTCACGGGTGTTCACCATGCCCCATAACACTCACGCCCCGTAACACTCACGGGTCTTCACCACGCCCCGTAACACTCACACCCCGTAACACTAACGGATGTTCCCCACGTCTCAGAACACCCTCGGGTGTTCACCACGTCCCATAACACTCACACCTCGTAACACTCACGGGTGTTCACCACTTCCATTACACTCACGGGTGTTCACCACGCCCCATAACACTTACGCCCCGTAACACTCACGGGTGTTCATCACGCCCCACAACACTCACGGGTGTTCACCACGCCCCGTAACACTCACGGGTGTTCACCACACCTCATAACACTCACGGGTGTCCACCACCAGTGGGGTACGACACCGAGGAGCTACGCCCCAGCTGGGCCGACGAGCCCGCCGTGCACTTCACGGACACGCAGGTGTCGCTGCCCTGCGAGATCGACGACGTCGTCATCGAACACAACACCTTCGTCACCACCAACCGTGAGTGCTGGGGTTACAGCTGCTGCATCTGGTGTGTCAGGTGCTGCATCTGGTGTGTCAGGTGATGCATCTGGTGTGTCAGGTGCTGCATCTGGTGTGTCAGGTGCTGCATCTGGTGTGTCAGGTGCTGCATCTGATGTGTCAGGTGGTGCATCGTCACCACCAGCCGTGAGTGCTGGGGTTACAGGTGATGCATCTGGTGTGTCAGGTGCTGCATCGTCACCACCAACCGTGAGTGGTGGGGTTACAGGTGATGCATCTGAGGCGTCAGGTGCTGCATCTGATATGTCCTAGCTGGTCTGTCAGGTGCTGCATCTAATGTGATTCCAGATCCTACACCTCGTCTGTCAGGTGATGCACCTGGTTTGTCAGTTGCAATGGTACACCTGGCGCAGGTGTAGATCAAGTTAAGGATTTAATAACATGCAGAAAAAATCCAATGGAAGGGTTAAATCAGGTGCAATAGATAATCAGCTGCACACGAAGATAAAATAGCTTGCCAAATCGCTAAACAGATTCTATTTCTAATTTGAAATTTGTGATGATGACATGAAAAAAACTTGCTTTTTGTTTATGATATAGAGCGAACATCTGGCTTTATGGATGCAAGTATAAATGCTGCATATCTGTTGATATGTGAATATGTTATATATCTAAATATCAGTGAATATGTTAAATGTGATGGGTTCCAATAATTATGTCATTGGTTTGCTTAAATCACTTGTTTAATCAAAATTTAAAAGCAAAAACAATGTGCCGAAAAAATAATCCAATGTTGGTCATTTAAATACATAAGGAATACTTGAGAAATATAGACATTATTACACTGAGAAAAATACCCGAGTAATATCCTTGTTTGGACCCAGGCGCGCGGCGGCGGCTGGAGGCTGAGATTGAGATGGAATGCTACAGCGGCTGGACCATCAAGCATACCGTGGTGCCTTTCATGCTAACCGTCACGCTAGCATACCTCGCATTCTTCCTGCACCCCCGGGGTGAGTGTTCCCGTCACGCTAGCATACCTCGCATTTTTCCTGCATCTCAGGAACGAGAATTTTTCCCCCATTAATTTCCACACTCCCTTAATAATTAATTTATTAATTTATTAATTATTAAGGGAGTGTGGCAATAATTTCCACCAGACATTCGACATTAAATTGGCGTGGTTTCGTTGAATTAAACGTTATTTAAACGATGTTTCAACGTCATTTGCCCACTGAAGAAGCTTTTAATTACGTATTGCACTGAATGATACGTCTCAGAATTCGTTCAAAAATGTGCCCATAATATGCAAAATTACTTCAAATCCTCGCTTGCTATTACTGTCAGACCTTGTTTAAGTCAATACAGGGATTGTTGTTAAATTGGATCTTTGTTCGACACAGGATTAATCAAGTCAAGCGTAATACCTTTGTAGGGTTTATATAAACAAGTATCAGGAAAAGCTGCTAGCCTGTGCGGTGTGATCTTTCTTCCTTGGCTCCATTGTAAACTAAGAAATAAAATCTATTATGCAAATATTGAAAAAAAAATTATAGCCGCTTGAAATTTTCATTATTTAATTTAGTTCAAACATCCTCACTTCAGTTGTGAAAAACTTACTGAAGACAATTAGGATGAAGTCAGCAAGAGACTTGAGTGAAAACCGACATAGGTCAAGGTTACTTATGTTTAATGATAAACTTGGTCTTAAACTCAAAGTTAAACTTAGTGTTAAACCTAGAGATAAACTCAATGTTAAACTTAGTGTTGAACTTGGTATAAAGTTGGCTTGGTACAGCTACTGAAAAATAATATTTCATTTTATTCGGAGACTTTCCTGAGAAAATGGCAAATTTTTTAATACGATGATTCCGTTACGAAATATTTTGAAAGAACTCTAATTTTTTTCAAAAACATCGAAATCGGGAGGCACTTTGGGGACATGGGTGTCCAAGATAAGCTATAAGTAACCTGTACAAATGCACATTTCTCGCATAATAAATGTTCACCTCCTCTCACATTATAAAATGTACATCTCTATAAATTAGTACTAAATCAAAATATAGTGACGTTTACAAAAGTCATGTCGGGACCCGTGCCCAAACAAAAGGCTAATTAAGTAGTTTATTAGCCGCGCTAACGACCTCCCAGTTCAGGATAACTGCCGCTTTGACAAGCGGGAGAGTCCTCTGGGTCCTACACTCCAAAAAATGAATGAATCATATTGTCCAAAAAGTGACACACTTACTCACCTATAGCCTGAGCAGAGATCGGACGCAGCATTTCCAAGCCCACAAGCTAGGGGTCATACTTTCAAAACTCGCTAATTGAACGTAAGTACTTACGCTCAATTTTCTTGTCTATGATTGGTGGATTTTGCTTGAAAGGCCGTCAATGATTGGCACATGAACTTACGATCTCTTAACTTTTTTTGAAAGTATGGGCCCAGGTCAAGAGGGATAAAGTTTATCGTTATTTGGACAGTCTAGGACATTTCATTGAGTGTATGACACGCACTTGACTTCACCCTACGCCCCGAGATACGAACTTCATGACAGCGCCTCTCAAAACTTCCAAAACTCGAAGGCTTTCCAATTTTTCCGTGAGGTCAATCTTTCAAGTTGCGGCTGATACCAAACTCTGAGCCGGAAACCCCCAACTTTCGGGCTGGGATAGGATAAAAAACTTTCTAACGGGTTCGCCAAATATTGGAGTTTGTGACGGCAACCTGACACGTGAACGCAAAACTATTTCCTTGCCTAACTCATACGGCTTCGTATAAGCGAGACTTGCATGTTTAATGATTTAAATTGATTAGGGAATGTCAAGTAACTCATTGCAAGAGAGCTGAACTACGTAGAATATGTGAATATATATAAAAATTGCGTAGAATATATGAATATACATGCCAAATTACGTAGAATATAGGAATATACGTAAAAATTGCAATCAGTGGGCGCAATGATGTTAGACTAAATTATTAATCGAATGATATTGTCAATCGGAAAATTCTTGGAAATTCTTATGAAAAAGAGAATTGATTTACATTTTGGTTGCTGCTGTGCGCTAAATTAGAGTTCATTAAACAATCGTAATGAATAATAATAATTAAAGCCGATAATTATGATTATGTCCACGTAATTATGATTTTGTCCATCCTGCCACCAGCCGTGACCGCCCGACTGATGGTCAGCTTCTTGTCCTTCGTCATCGCCATGATGGTTCATGAGAAGACCTACAGCCAAGTGCCCCAATACCCCTACACCATGGTGAGTGGTGAGTGGTGAGTGGTGGTGAGTGGTGGTGAGTGGTGGTGAGTGGTGGTGGAGAGTGGTGGCTGTCTCTTATACACATCTAGATGTGTATAAGAGACAGCCCCCGGGGTGAGTGTTCCCCGTCACGCTAGCATACCTCGCATTCTTCCTGCACCCCCNGTAACCGGAGCAATATTAGTAGTATATTAGTATTATTAATATAATATAATAATAGTATAATTAATAATATTAGTAACCGGAGCAATATTGTCACAAGCCCACTTCCCAAAAAGGATACGTTCTAGTGAGCGCAAAATGACTTGCACTGATGGTTGCCGCCACGTACAACAACTTTTAAATGTTCACAAGTTGCTACACTCAATAGCTTACGTATAATTTAAGATGAAAGTTATGTTCGTGGAGAGTGACATACGGCGGTAGGGGGAAAAATAATTCATACAAATAGTTTCGAATACTTCATTTTCAATTGTAATAATTTGTGCAGGCAATCGAAGTGTTCACTGGGACTTGCTTGGGTTTCATCTTCTGCACGGTCGTCGAGACGCTCGTCGTGGATGTCATCTGCCGCAGCAACGACAAACTCACGGCCGCTTCCTACGCCAGGGAGGTGAGGGCATCGCAGGATCCATTGTTGAACTAGTATAAGGTTGACCCATCAGAAGCCCATTTTTGCGAATGTAGTTCGTTGTTCGCCTGTGACGTCACTGATCTCAGTGACGTCACGGGCATTAACTAATCACCGAAATGCGATCAAACCAATCAACCAATCCGTCATGGGTAAGACGGGATTGATTACGTCTCTCGATCTACGTGACGTAACAAGAAAGCTGAACTGAAAGACGGAACTTCTCGCGGGTCAACCTTATATAGTTCAACAATGGCAGGATCTAACCAATGTCACGCTCGATATATTGTGGAAAAGAACATAAATGACACAATTCCGGTGTCAAAAGAAAATTTCAAAATCCTATTGCAATAAAAGATTTAGTTCTGAGATGTGTCCCGAGCCAGAGAGATATAGACATGGAGTATCGCATGCTAGTTCTAAATGTAAACACACAATGTATTTCTAGAACAAAAGCGGTAATTAGTCCATCATGAGTGGTCATTATCTGGGGGTATCTAATTTCAGAGATATAGAGAAGAGGCAGCGTAAATATAAAATTTAAAAAAGGCTGATGAGACGTATTTGTAGCCATATCCTGCACCTGCAAGATGGTGGAAAACAAAAGCCTGTAGTATGAAGTCCCATGCGTGCCGTTCGAGTTGAGGTGGATTGAAAGGGAAAACATTTTCATCGATAAATATTTGAATGTTCTATGTTGTTGAACAAATCGTGCGACATGCATTGAAGACGATTCAAACGTTCAGCGTTGATAAACCAATTAAACGTTCGCTTTGCTGAATAAATTGAAGGTTGTAAATTGATAACGATACAAACGTTTTGCATAAAGGTTGATTCAAGCATTTTGGACTGAGACCAATTTAGAGAGATTTGGACGATGGAGTTAAACGTTGGAGTTTCCATTTCCCTGTCATTTTCCCTTGTAATAATTTTCCAAGAACTTTCTCAAATGCATTCATTTGTCTAATTTTTTTCTAATTGAATTGTACGCTATACATAGTGGATCAGAGTAGCTCGTCAATCGAGGTAAGAAAAAAGAAAAATTTAAAAAACCTGCCTGAATTAAAATTTTTATTTTACTAATTGTTATTTAAAATGTGAATACAATTTAAAATTTGAGTCTTGTTTAGCTTCGTGTCTTTGTATGTACTTCTGGATATGCACTTACGAAAACCAATGGATGAACCTGTTCTTTCACCAATAAATTAGCTGTGTTTCTCTGTCAAAATTTATTTCTCGTTCAACACTGAACAGATTTGACTCAAGTTATTATGACCAAAATTGACTCGTTTAAAAAAAATGACAAAAACTTACTCGTGTTATTGCAAGCAGAGAGCAACACTCTGACGTAACCCAATAAAACCTCGTCAAAGGCAGCGAACAACAGCGAGGGCCGCTACACAAAAACAACCATTTAAATTCATCAGGATTTTGTTTACAGACGAAGCTGCAATGCTCACTTCAGGGCGATCAGCAGACGAAGCTGCAATGCTCACTTCAGTGCGATCAGTCGCACGATTTTGTTTACAGACGAAGCTGCAATACTCACTTCGGTGCGATCAGTCGCACGATTTTGTTTACAGACGAAGCTGCAATGCTCACTTCAGTGCGATCAGTCGCAGGATTTTGTTTACAGACGAAGCTGCAATGCTCACTTCAGGACGACCAGTCATCCTAAATTCAGACTACTTTCATAGTCGTCAAGCAAGGCCAGTTTGTTTGTCCTATTCTCGTTTATTTTGTCCTTAACAGCGTATAGATTATCTTATCTGCATTGCATCTTGATATGTAATGCGAAAGTTATTTCACGTAGCAGGTTTAGGGATAGCATTGATATCGAGCGGACGAATTATTGGTCTTTGGGTAGTTAATAGCTTGCCTATCTGGACAGGTATAGGCAGGAATAGCATTACCAAGTAGGGGACGAATTCTTCAATTTGGGTGGTGAAAGACGGGCTTTCAGTACAGGCTCGGGTAGGAATAGCATATGATCACTCTTCCTCCCCCTTTTTCCTTTTTCCTCCGCGAAAAAATGTTAATATATATAAATAATGAAGTTAAAACTATAACTATAAAAAAATAAACGCGCTGCTTATTTATATTTCAGATAGGGATGGTGTTTCGAAAAAATAAAATTTCCAGATTGTATTCATGGGCCGTTAACATCAATTTACTTAAATTATAAACTAAATTTGATTAAAAGTTAAAATTCCTTAATTTATTAGCAGGACGGGGCTGACTTTATTTTTATTACGACTAACAATTTTGGTAAACGGCTTAAATTTTGTACCCTGTAGGGTTGACAAGTCATAACAACTAGTCAACCCTAACTAGTAACTAATATTAATATATAAAATCGATGATGAATCCTAATCGAAAGTTACTAATTGCGTTCCGAATACATATAATTAAAGTTATTGCTTATTGAGCGTGGTAACATAAAGAAATGCATCAGGATATTTATGCTTTAAGTCACGATGATTGTGTGATGAACAAATGCCATGAGATATAATGTTTTAATGGGGTATTATTTCTTGGTTTCACTAAATATTTAAGTTTACGTTCATTTGTAGAAATTACAGAATTATTAACGAATGAGAAATGAATTGAACAAGACCTGCTGATATTAGTTACCTCTTAAACAAAACAAGATTTTTCATAAATCACGAAAAAACGAATTATCAAAATTTTGCTTTTTCAGCTAACTATGATCAATTATGATTGCTGAATATTTTAACTAAACTATAATTTCAATTTCAACTTTAAATTTCCGTACGTATAAATATTAATACATAACCGATTCCAATAATTGATTAATCAGTATTGCATAATTTAATTTATAAATTAAAAATTAGAAATAAATTATATTAAAATAAAAACTGAAGTAAAATGCAAATAACCATTATTGAGATTAAGATCTTTGTTTAGTTTATTCTGAGAAGGGATAATTTACGATTATATTTTACAAATAAAATTCATTTTTTTACCGTTTTGGACTTGAAGAAATATTAAGACAAATAAATTCTGTTCCTGATCTCTTGCAGGACTGTGAACTGAAGAAAGGTCCTAAGGTACGTTATTGTAGAATAGTTCCTCCTCAAATTAACAAAACATAACGAATATTGCACAAAAAAATCAAATTTTGATAAATTCTTAACAAATGATTATTTAATGTGTTAATATCACATTATTGAGACTCAAGATCTTTTCAGAATTAACGAATTAGTTATTCACTGCAAAATTTTAGTAAAAATTTAGGTATTATACATCTACGAAATTATTTTTTGTGGTTCACTCCATAAATCGACGTAATCGAACAAAATTTAATTGATTGGGACATTCGAAGAATATGAATCGTTATGATTAGTTCTAGAATAAATTATGCATAAATGTTGGGAAATTATTAAGATGAAAATTATAATGATTGGCTTCAATAAAGAAATGCATGCCTAAATGTGAATTGCATCTTGAGGCTTTCTGCAGGTGCGAATAAAGTCTACGGATTTTAGAAGAACATTTAAATAACTTCATTTAACTAACATTTATTATGCAAAATTTCTTTTTAAATTGAAAATTTCTAACTGATGAATTTTCTTGGGACTAACATAATTAAACACATTTTACATCATCTCCAATTGAAAATTAATGTGAATTACAATGGGACAAGGCTCTACATTTTTTTTCAGGTATTCAGTGTTCTGCATCTTTCTACTAACATATTTGGACGTGGGTAACTCTATTGCTTCATTTATTCTTTTAATCTACTTGTCTATATTTATCTAGTTCAGTTATCTAATATTCAATCACTGGTTTTTATTTGAGCCTCCATAGCTGTTTGATTAATGAGACATTAATTTATAAGAGGATTGTCTTTCTAAATACTTTAACAAGCTTTGAAATGACAGTCAAAAGCTATTTTGCGTTTTGATTTTTTGCCTAAATTACTACTAATTAACTTACTATGATCCCAGCGTGCGCGAGGTGAGCTACAGTGACCACGAAAAAATTATATTCGTGCAATTTTCTCCACCATGTGGTTTTCTCCACCATGTGGCAAAACACATTTTCTCCACCATGTGGTTTTCTCCACCATATATTGGTAATTTTTTCCATCATGTGGCACAATTTTCTCCAGCATATGTTACGATTTTCTCCACCAAATGGCACAATCATATCCACTATTTGGCATAATTATCTCCACCATATGGCACAATTATCTCCACCATATGGCACAATTATCTCCACCATATGGCACATTTTCTCCACCATATCGCACAATTATCACCACCATATGGCACAATTATCTCTGCCACATTTCACAATTATCCCCACTATATTGCACAATTATCTAAACCATAGGGCGCATTTATCTCCACCATATGGCACAATTATCCCCACCATAGGACACAATTATCTAAACCATAGGGCACATTTATCTCCACCATATGGCACATTTATCCCACCATATGGCACAATTATCTAAACCATAGGGCACATTTATCTCCACCACATGGTACAATTATCTCCTCCATATGGCAAAATTATCTCCACCATATGGCACAATTATCTCCACCATATGGCACAATTATCTCCACCATATGGCACAATTATCTCCACCATATGGCACAATTATCTCCACCATATGGCACAATTATCTCCACCATATGGCACA